TATCTCAAATTCATCTTATATATATATATATATATATATATATATATATATATATTGTAGAGATCATGATATCAATTTCATCTTTTCACCTTTCCCTTTTTTTGACGTGTGTTATAAAAAAAATTACTACTTAAAAGTTAAAATTTCAAGCATTTTTTTGTGTTATATAAAGGAAAAAACTTAAACTAAATAGAATAAAATAGAACAAGTCAATTAAAGAGAGCGAAGAGAAAAATAGAGCAAATCAATGACATTATCATTTACATATCGGAGTTTCACAAAATAGGAGAATGAAATGAGAACAATAGTACAATATTATATATTAACAATGAACAATAGTGCAGTATTATTAGCACAGAAAAAATGAAGAAGATAGAAGCATAGTAAAAAAAAAGATAAAAAATTCACTTGGAAATTCTTGAAACACGTGAAAAGTCACTTAAAATAATCCTCTAAAATCTGATGGGTTTAGATGAAATTGTTTTATAATTTGGTATTTATAGATAGCATTAGAAAATCCTTCAAAATCTCTCTAACATAACAATCTTTTAAAATCCTTATATTTTTGAATACCAATGAATTATTTTTAAGTTATAAAAAATCTCAAATGAATGCCAATAGATTTTAATACACTCTTTAAAAAATCTTGAAAATCTAGATTAAATAGCACTAGATTCTTTAAGTGACATAAAATCCTGATTAAATACCAACGAACTTTTTTACTAAAAAAAAATCTTTTAAAATTCTATGAAATCCTAAACCAACACACCCCCTAAAATAAAAAATAATAAAAAAATAATTAAAAATAAAAAATTTAAAAAGTAAATATAAGTAAAAGAAAATAGATAACAAATAAATAAAAAGATAATGGAAAAAATGCTTTATAAATAGTTATAAAAATAAATTAATCTAAAATTTGTGTCCACCAAAATAAAATATTCATTTTTTTAATAATATAGATTAACATTTGATGATACTATCAAATATAATTATTAGGGGTTTAATAGTGTAAATTTTTTAATATAGTCGATCAATAATAATCACAACTTGTAGAATTTAACATAATTATAATAAAAGTCAACAAATTTATCAATTATAAGAAATTATGATTGGATTATTGTGTAAAATTTTCTTTATACTATCACCTTAAATTCAATTATTATTATTAGAAGAAAAAATGCACTGCATGTCTAGACAATATTAAAAGAAAAAATATATTTTTCTAAATAGTTATTCATGAATAATTTTAGAATAATACATGATACTAATTTAAAATTATAATAAATAAATTTTTTTTAGTAAAGACAATATTATATATTAATTTGCTTCAAATATCATATACATTGGATTATAATAAGTTCAATAAATATATTAAACTTATTATTATATCCATTAATTTATAAATTTTATATAATTAATTTTTTATTATAAAATAAAAATAAAAATATTTTAAAAATAAAAAGTACACTTAAACACAATTATCTTTTAATCATATTATTTTTTATTATGATATAAATTTTTATTTTAAACTAAATATTTTGATGGGTAAATTCTAGAGGATATTTTTATGAACTTGAAAATTTAATTATCTAAAAATGGAGAGAAAAATGGGATGTTAGAATTAGGCGTGAGCAGAAAGTTTCGAACTGCTCGAAATCGAAGTTTTCCGTGGTCCATTTTTTAGTTTGGACAGTTTTTTTTTTTCTTCAATTTTACGGGTTGTTTGACTCAGTTTGACATGGGTTTTGTTGGTCGGGTTCGGGTTAAAATATTTGAATCCGTCGGTATTCATACCCGACCGAAACATAATAATTAAATTTAAAAGGTATGTTATTACTTATTAGCTAGCACCGCGACTGCGAGGGTAAAAGTTAGAAAGTAGAAACCCTAAGCACCACGAAACCCTCTCCTCATGCCAGTAAAAACTAGAAACCCTACCACCGCCCATCTCGTCAAGATCATCCCTCTTCACTACAACCCCTATTTTCCACACTGTGCCATCATCTCCACAATCCAACGCATTCCCAGGTACTCCACATTTCTCTCCTTACAAATGGGTCTCAATCATTTTTAACAATTTCCAAACTTTTTTTCCCTTTTAACAAATTCCTTAATATTCGCAAATGGATAATGTAATGCCCATCTTACGTTAACGCAACAATTCCGACAATGACATCTTTTTTCCCTTTAATGTTTGATCAGGCATTATCAGTGGCCAACTTAGAGATTGTGGGGTGTTGTTGGATGAAGTGAAGTTTTGTATTTTTTGTCCAAGATTGGATTTTTCATTGTGGGTAATGATTGATTCGTTTGTCGTGGGTGTTGAACTCAAATGGGGGTTGTTTGTTTCGTGTTGCGAGCTCGAGTTATGACCCAATCCGACTAATCCGATCCAGTTAATCCGAGATCCGAAAATCTAAACCCAATAAATCCAAAACACTATTACGATCAAAAATAGACTATTTTTTTTTTGGATCGATTTAAATTGAGCTAAATATTTTTTACCCGAATCCGTCCGAGACCGTCCGAAACAGGCCTAGTTAGAATAACATGGCGATATCATGGTAGCTTTATAAAATTTTCAAAGTAGCAAGTGATAAGAGTAGCTAGGAAGAGAGAGAGAGAGAGGAGAGAAGGAAATGGCGAGAGGGGAGAGAGCAGAGACAGAGAGTGGCGCTTCCTTACCGTCGGTGGGTTCGGACGCCAGGAGGCGCAGAGTGACGTATTTCTACGAACCCAGCATCGGCGACTACTACTACGGCCAAGGCCACCCGATGAAACCCCACCGCATTCGCATGGCCCACAACCTCGTCGTCCACTACGGCCTCCACCGCCGCATGCAGGTCAACCGCCCCTTCCCCGCCGCCGCCGACGACATCGCCCTCTTCCACGCCGACGACTACGTCCGCTTCCTCGCCAACGTCTCGCCGCAAATCCTCTCCGAGAACTCCCACTCCCACTACCGCCAGCTCAAGCGCTTCAACGTCGGCGAGGACTGCCCCGTCTTCGACGGCCTCTTTGACTTCTGCCGCGCCTCCGCCGGCGGCTCCATCGGCGCCGCCGTGAGGCTCAACCGCTCCGACGCCGACATCGCCATCAACTGGGCTGGCGGCCTGCACCACGCCAAGAAGGCCGAGGCCTCCGGATTCTGCTACGTCAACGACATTGTACTTGGCATTCTAGAACTCCTCAAAGTTCACAGGGTATTCTCCTTTTCCTTTTCTCATTTTCATTGCAATTGCAATTTCACTCATAGGATAAAGAATTGAAAGAAATTCCGGCAGCGACCATTCCTTTGCTGTTTTGGTATTGATTTCACGCAACACCCTTTGTTTGATGCAAATATGTCGTATGAACATGAATGTGATGACCTAATTTTTGTTGTTATTATTGTGGGTAAAATATAATTTGGTCCTCGAAAAATCCCGAAATTTTGTCCCTTGTAGAAGTTTATTATGTTTTCAGTCCTTACATTTCCATTAGGTGTGGGTATTCATTGGATTGGAGTTATCTGATGAACCTGACAATCCAAATCAAGCCAATTAAATTTGCAGGGTTAATTCGTTTTTTTCATTTCAAATTCAAACTAAATGGGATCAGTTCTTTAGCTCGAACTATTTCGATGATTTGATCAGCTATTTTTTATCTTTTAGATTGATCAATTGTTAAACCACCATAAATTTGAAAATGAAGATGCTTTCCCCATGCATTGTCGCCGAGGTGATTTTCGGCAGGGGAGTCCCTCCCCCTGTTACTTCTTTCTTTTCTCCCTCTCTTCCTCTTCGTTCTTCACCCTTTCTTTCTTTTTACTTTAGTGGCATGTCATCAAATAATCTTCTTGCATGTTGCCATCTTCCATATTTTCGTACTTGGCATAAACATCAACAATTAAGCTATATAATCACGTTAGATGATAATTCGACAAGTAAAATCTACCCATGGATTTGCCTTCAAAGTTCAAATTCTTTCAACTTTACAAAAACAATCAAGACATTGGTAAAGCTAAACTCATTATACCCCACAAATAATATCCTAAACTATTTGTAAAATCTCGAAGCCTCATCTTTGAATTCCAAGATACATAATCCTTATGAAACATTTGATAGAAGAAGCTCGTAGCTTGCTCTATCATGCCCAATTTAGCAAACCCCAAAAGCATATTGTTTCAACTCCCAAGTGTACAAATTTGTAATCTCCATTTTGTAGAACACCTTACATGCCTAAATGAAATCATCGCAAGTGAAGTACATGGAGATCAAGCGGTTGGCTAGAATTGTTAAGGGCTCTGAAGCTTAGGCACTTCAAAATTCATATGCCATACATGTATTGGGTACTTACTCGTACTCGTACTCGTGGGTATGTACCCAAAACATTTTTCAAAAAAAAAAATGAGGATACTTAATTTGGGTACACATGGGTATTTTTTGGGTACATATCAGTCCATACCCAAGTCCAAAAACTATGACCTATATATGTTAATAAAAAATTAGGTTTTCTATTATTTCTATTTGCCCCCAATTCTCAATTCCCATCCATGAGTGACACGACACAACTCATCAATGAGGAAGTTCCAAATTGGGTTTCCCCACATAAGGACAATGAAACTTGTTTAGGAAGAAACAAATGCCTTAGGAGCTACTTTTCAAATCCAAAGGAAAGGGTAGAGGTAACTACAAAATTTGTCAAATTCTTAGGTGTTGGAAAAGAGCTTGGCCAATTTTATTCTTTGCAAGATAGATGTAACTTGAAACCAAAAGATTGGTGGGTTATGTGTGGTTTAGCAATTTCCAAACTTCAATCTGTTGCATTGAAACTTTTCTCAACCATTATCATCTTCTTATTGTGAGAGAAATTGGAGCACATATTCTTTTATCCATTCTATGAAAAGAAATAGGCTTTATCCTAAGAGAGCTGAAGATTTAGTTTTTATACGTACAAATCTTCGTCTCCTTTCAAGAAAGAGCAAGAGTTATACAGAGGGTGAGAGCAAAATGTGAGATATTGGTGGGGATTTATGGGATCCATTTGGAGGGACTAAAATTCTTGAAGTTGCTACTATTTCTCTTGATGAACTAGAGTTAGAAGCGTTATTTTCACATATGCTGGACAAGGAAACATAGAGATTGAAACTATTAAAGTGTGATATATCATGATTGAGACTATTAAAGTGTGATATCATAGTTTAAGAGTGATATTATAATCATGTTTTTAAGTGTTAAGATTTTTATTATTGATATTATAGTTCAAGTGATAAGTGTCTTTTTTATTTGTGTTTTCTTTTTTATCATCTATACAATTTACTTGGGTTTATATAATTAAAAATATAATTCTTTTAAATTACATTAAACATACCCATATCCTAGATTATTTAAAACTTGCGTATCCTGTACCCATACCCAGTATCGTACCCATATCCATGCAACATAGGTAAAGGGGCGTTTGAAACTAATGGTCTTCAAATGGAGGTGAATCAACTTGCCCAATGTAAAAGGGTGGAGAGAACACAAGAGGGTAAGCAAATGCTCGAGGTGCAACATGTTAAGAGAAGAAACAACTTCTGGCAGGGAAGAGTTGGAGAGGATGGGCTTGATAATGCAGAGGTTGGAGGATTTAAGGGTTGGGGATGATAGATGAGAGATATGGTACTATTATTGTAGAGAAAGACCATGTAAATGTGAAAGTAAAGTTAGTAATTGTAATTTGAACAACTTCAACTATGTTTGCAATGATGAATATGAATAGGAATAGAAATTAGAGGGGGACTTAAATGGTTGATTTGTTTACCTAGTTTTGGCCACCATGGATGGTGGATCTTGGCAAAACCATTACAACAAGGTTATCGATGGCGGATAACGGTCTATGGCGGCGAGGCCAAAAATCCTTTATAACTCTATGGCGGATGCCATGGCGGCCTATGGCGGACGTCATGGCGGACAAAAAAATAAAAATAAAAAAAATATTTCTATATATTATATACAAAGAAAACAGCAAAATAATAAATAACAAGCAACAAAACTAAATTAAAACCAACATAATATCAACTTAAATACTTAAATATCATAACAACAATACCATAATTCATCAAGTCTCATAACATAATTGATTAAATGTTGCTTTGCTCTTGTAATTCCCCCTTTCATGATTTTTTTACAATAATTGCATATAGTTTCATTGGTATCATTCTCTTTGGTAGGATGACAATGTTTCCATCCTAT